CAAAATCCTTCTGGGGGATTCCATTTACAAGTTAAACACAAACACCTCTCTTTAAGGGATGTTAAACTCCTATTGAGGGATTCCATTTACAAGTTATACATAAATACAGTGTACCTCCTTCTGCAAGATGCCAAACGCCCTTTGAGGGATTCTATTTACATAGACTACGAGTAGTCCCCCAACCTTCTGAGGGTTGCCAACCTCCTTCTGAGGGATTCCATATTCAATAGTATTATAATTCTGAGGTTTTGATCCCTTACACTCTTAGTATCGAAATATTCCTTCTGTTGAACAGAAGAGTTTAAAATAATTTCAATAACATTTCCCTTGCCGTTACAGGCCCGTAGCAAGCATAAAATGACTGGGGGGACTGAGCGAGTGGCCCACATTAACTCCCCCCCCCCACGCTTCGGTCCCTCGGTTAAAGCATACTTCTTGGTACATGTCAGATCACTATACATTTGTCTACAATACCTTTTGTTCTTGTATCTAATTTTCCGTTTGTGTTGCCTTTGACGAAATAGAGAACCATTTTAGTAGGAAAATTCCACTTTTGTAGCAGAATTTACTTCAAGTCTCAAGTCTGAAAATTTCTGAGGGGGGGGGGGCTCGAGCCCCCCTGCCCCTCCCCCTGCTACGGGCTTGCGTTCGAAGTTCTTTGTTCTTAAATTCTGTTAGAAATTACAAGTCCGACGACGAAAGTTGATAGCGAGATGCGCCATTTGTCTCACGAGCCGAAGATTGCCGAAGCAACTCTCGTTTCTAGTCCTCCTCGATCACCTCCTTCTGAGGGATTCCATCTAGCCACGACCGGGGACCTTTCAGTATTCGCACATCTTCCATAATACACCTCTGTTTTGTCCCCCAAAATTTCGCATAAGCATTGTCTTTTATTTATTTCTCTTAGGACCACTGTAATACCCTGGTGAAATCAAAAACAATAAGTTGTGCAAAGTTTTGGATGGCAAAAACGGTGCATTATGGGAGTATCTGGGAGTACCCCTGGGTTGTTTTCAAGACTTTGTCGCTCACAAATGAAATCAGGTCAACATGTAGACAGGAGAATGCAGAAGCTGCAGCAATTGCCTAGTTTATTATTTTTCACTTCATTTAAGACATTTAAGAGCGGCTGCCTGTAAATGTCGAGAATTTGCCTTCAAAACGGAAATTTCGAAATTCAGTCAGAAAAAACCCTTAAGTGAAACTTTTTCGAAAATCACAATCAAAGTTTCCAAAGAATTTTCTTTTTCGAGGAAGCCGCAAAAAGGGAAATGCTGCCACACGCCATATAGTCGCCGGTCTAAAACCTTTGAATTATACCAATTTCAAAGCCCTCGGGAAGAAAGACGGTTCAATGAAACAAGTTCATCTTTGGCAGATAAGTAAGGCATCCCAGTTACAATAGTATTTTGTAAAAATATTGCAAGATAATGAATTTTGTACTCGGGTAAAAAACGTCCGAAGATTCCTATCTTCAGCACTTTCATAAATTATGACATTTTGCGAAACTTTGAAGGAAAAAATCACGGCTTGTTACACGGAATTTTAGAAGAATTATTAAACGTCAGTAAAGCCCTACTGTTGTTAGTACAACATATAAAAAACCCACCTTGGGCAATGAAAAAGCCACCGCCGAGCGAGGTAAATGCGAAGTTCATTTTCGATGTTTTTGCATAAAATGCACGTTAATTAATTAAAACCGTTACACAACCGAGGGTAACACAAACTCTAAAAACTTAAGTGGAGCTAAGATCAAACACTATTACATATTGGCAACATACAATCCATCATTCTAAGAAACCACAATTTTACAGCTTAAACATGGTGATAAAATTTCAGGTTATCTAGACTTAATTAGAAATTCAGCCAATAGGAAAGACTTAGTGAAAATTCGTATAAGTAACCACAAACTCATGATTGAAACTGGAAGATATAATCAAACTTCCCGCAACGATAGATTCTGCCCTATTTGTAACTCTGGTATAATTGAAGACGAATTTCATTTTCTCTTCCATTGTCCAAAATATTCAATCCCAAGGGAGAAATTCGACAATCAAATCCAAGAAAATTTTGTCGACTTTAATCAGCTGTCTTACACAGAATTAACAATTAAATTGATGAATTCACATAATTTTTCCGTAAATTCACATTTGTTGAAATTTGTCTCATTATGTAATGATTTACGTACTAATTTGTTATCAAATCATGCTGATGACACTTGATTGACTGTAGTATTCATTGCATGGCATTATCATTGTTATGACTGAATTGTAACTTTATGTTAAAGCTTCTGCAATACTGTAACTACATAATTATAGTCATGCAAATAAAGCTTATGTTGTTGTTGTCTTGAGGGACTTGTCAGAAATTAGCAGGGTGGAGGGGGTGGAAACAGAGGGAGGGTCTCAACTTTTTGAGACTCAGAAAAGGGAGGGGTCATGAAAAATGGGCCGTTAAAAGGGGGAGCGTCATGCAAATATATGCCCGTGATCATGTAGAGGTTCACCCACAGAAGAAAAAGGAAGTTCTTTATTTGGTTAAAAAAAAAAAACAAAAAAAACAAAACAACGGAACATCACGGATATAAACTGTGAAGTACTATTGCAAGAATTTAACAAATATCTACTTTTCATTTATAATACTGCTGTGGACCAGCTGGTGACTTTATGAAGGCTTTTGTTACCAATTGTAAAGAACAGCAGTTTTTTTTTTCAATACCGAATATATTCAGTAATACAAAGCTGCAAAGTGGGAGACAAGAAAAGTAAAAGTCCCAGGACACAATTGTTTCAAAAAATTAGACGACTTCATAGAATCGTGTATGATTACTGGAGAAATGTTTCATATTGTGAAAATGAGTCAGTGGATCCCACCCCTCGTCCAGTTCCAGACATCAACAAACTTCCAAAAGTATCGCTATCTGCCTGTTGCAGAAACACCCATTACAAATACAGACGACGGTAAAAGAAGAGAAGTGGATGATTATCACCCTAGAGCACGTTTAAAGCAAGTCCACAAAAAGAATGAAATCAATATCGAGGATAGTGCAAGTGTTCAGACCTTTGCAAAAGATACATTGTTGAAGAAAGTCTTGTGAAAAAATACCTAGAACATTTAAATCATTTAGAGATGATGAGTGATAAGAGTTAAATGGAAAAGAAAAACAATAGTGGAACACTAGCAAGACAGCAGGTATGCGTTCTGGACAAATACATCCATAAACATAATTTGCTAGCAGTGAAAGATAAAAACAAGCCACAGCAAGTCAGTGCTATTATGGATCACTTACGGTCATTTGCCGAGAGCACACAAACAAACAAGCAAAGCTCCCTCAGTGTGGAAGAGGTGGATGATCGTGATGAATGTGAAGAAGGTGAAGGGGATGAGGCATTACCCACTTGGCCTAGTGATGAAGACTTTGTATTTGGAGAAATAGGAGAGTCGAGTGATCAGCTGTCAGAGTCAGAGTAGGACTCTTCATGCTGTCATCTAAAATTTGTGTATACAGCATCACAAAGAACAGATTAGAAATATATTTAGAGTTTTCATAATACTGACTCACCCTAGTGTATTGCAACACAGGCGGCCCAAACGCGAGGGAAGGGTGTAATGTAATTTACATAACATAGGTGACCCGCCGGGGTCGCGTTACAGGCGACCGTTGAAAATATAAGAGACTTTGTATTAGAAATGTATTACTGAGATCTGCGCAAGCTCAATAACGCAAAACCTTACTTTTTCTTAAATGAATTGAATAAAAAAGACTTACCTGCAATGTATTCCGCTGCGTTTTGGTGTCTGTTTGTCGTTTTACTGTTTGTTTGGCTTTATTGTGTAACCACTGTTACTCCTTCATAGAACGAAGTGAAGGCTGGTCACTTCACAGGGGGCCCACACAATGTGTTTGTGTAGCCGATTGTTATTTTATAGTAAATGTACTGGATTTACCGTTTGCTTCACCTATAGCGATATATTGCTAACTATGTATATAGATCAATGATAAATAAACGTTGAATTACCTTACCTTTGGTGTATAGTCGTCCTTTTGCCTCAAAAGCGATGGTTTGAGCGATTTTGAATGAATTTGAGTTCGCCTTTGACTGTTCCATATAATAGAAGGAAAATACTGTTACTTTGCCGTTTACAAGCAATTTATTTGTAAACGTTAAGTTTCACAGTGCAAAAGGAAACGTACCGAATTTACGCGAATTAGCGCCGCGGCGATTGTTAACTTTTTTCTCGAAAAATGCGGCGCTTATTTGAGAGCGGAGCTTAATACTATAGCAATACCGCTCAGCACCGTATTTACTCGAATAAGCGCCGCGGCGCTAATTAACTCCCCCACCCCCAATGCGGCGCTTATTGAGGGCGGGGCTTATTCGAGTAATTACTGTAATTGGCAGCTTAAGAGTTTATTACATTTAGGGCAAATTGTTATTACATTTAGGACAAAATGTTATTACATTTAGGACTTTATTACATTTAGGACCGTTTATTACATTTAGGCCTTGTACAAGTTTGGGCCGCCTGGGATTGCAGGAACTAGATTTTATCATTTATACCGTGAGTGGGGGAGGGTCATGATATTTTAGGCCAAGCTCAAGGGGAGGGTTACCAAATTTCACTCCCTTTGCAGGGATGGGCCACCTCTTTTCCCAACCCAAATTTAAAATTCCCACCCCCTCCTCCCCCCCTGCTAATTTCTGACCAGTCCCTAACTACTTACGACAGGATAATATTAGAAAGCACAAATTAAAAAAAGTTTAGTTTTAACGCAGATGTAAAGCTAATCCAGTAGACGGCCAAAAGAACTGTTTACAAGTTCAAGAACAGGCTTGAAGATTCGAAGACTCTGTCATATGCAGCTGGTATTGATGGTAATCTAAAAATAAACCAAATTGTAATAACATTCTCTAACCATGAGGTCATAGTAATAGTACATTATAAATTCAGATCAAAGTCACAGAAGTTGAATAAATGATGAGGGTATGAAGCTTTGATGGACAAAAGATTGTAAAATCTGTGTGTTGTTTTGGAGACCGTCAATGGACGGGAACAACTGGGAAAATCTACCTGAGCACATTTTGGTGAGGATATATTCATTTCTTAGTCTATCCGAGAGATTAACGGCTTCTATAACCTGTAAACAGTGGAATGAAATATGTTTCAGTTCCCCACTACTGTGGCAGACATTCCAATTCAAATTCTTTGATTCAAAGGAGTTCAAATACAGCAAATTCTTGGAGAACCATGGACGACACTTAAGAAACGTGGAAATTCAGTGCCATCAAGAGGATAAAATCAACAGGGAAAGCGCATGCACACTTATTCGTGAGTTAAGCACCTTGAAAGTGCGACGACTCGAGAAGTTTACTATCAAGTTTCTCGGAGAGAACCCTTTGTTCTACGCTGGTCATGAATTCGTCGACTGTTTGCGAGATCTGTTCGACAAACCCAATAGCGATTGCGAAATTCAATTACCTTTGAAATATGTGGATCTAAGTAAACTACCGGTCGCCTACAGTGATGATTTAATTAACCTTCTGGCAGAAAACAGTCCTGATTTACAATCGCTGAATATTCAGAACGCTGCGCTTGTTTGCAAAGTGTCTTCCGGTTGCATAGAAAATGTCGTTAACAAGTGCCGGAAGTTGAGGTATCTTGCTCTTCATCACACAAGTGTGAACGAGGACATCATGATGTCGTTAACTGAAGATGGCAGAGCTCACCTTGAACACCTTTCTATTGACTGCCGACGAGAAGAAAAATTTGGAAAGGACATAACATCTGAAATATGGGAAAACGTTCGGCGGAAAATTCCAAGCCTTCGTGTCACGCTAGCTTTCGACACCTCTTGTCCAATGTTTAAAGTGGACGCAATTCTGAAACCAGAAATACCAGTGCAGAACCTGAGGCTAGAGGTGATGTCGAGAGTTGTTGCTCAAATTTATTTTGCAGCTGAGAACTACAGTCAAACATTGGAAAAACTGTCGATAAGTACCACAGGCAGTAAGGAATTGGAAAATGCCCTGATATATCTTGTCTCAAAATGTCGCAAACTAAGTGAACTTCATGTCTTCCAGTGTTATATTTCTCAAGAGACAAAACAAAAGATATTTCAGCTATGCCCACAGATGAAAAAATGTTTTATGAGAGTACTGTAAAAAAGATAATAAGAACACTTTCAGTCTGACCCTGGACACAGATATTCCTAGAGTTTCTGATCTGAAAGTACCCCGGACATTAGGTATGTTAAAGTCCAACATTTTGGTGATAAACTTTGTAAAAGCTTATTAAACGAAGCTAGTGCTGATGAGCACCATCAAAGTCAAATATAAAATACATTATGAAAAATCTTTAGGAATATATTCTGGAGGCATCCCTTCACTCAAACTATAACAATTGACCGGCTTTATTACCATACACTCTTTTTCATATGGCTAGTTTACAGGGGGTCTCGACGAAACACTGGCCCTCTATTGACCCCCTCTACTGATCGCCCTTACTGAACTCCTGTATGAAAATCACAGGAAATTAGCTAATGATTTGAACTAACAAAGAATGGTTCACCTTAAAGCTTACAGGATGCCCATGCAAGATTGCATCAGGCGTGAGATGGTTGATCTGCCACTTCAACTCCTTTAACCCTTTAAGTCCCTATAGCGACCTGCATCAATTTTCTCCTAACATTTTCCATACACCGTAGTATGAAATGCTTTAATCTTTAATCAAATTCCCTCAACTAATCCTTCAAGCAAATATACGGGGATCAGTATGGAGAATTTGCATGTGGATACTGGGGCTTAAAGGGTTAATCACAAATTTTGGTTTTCTTTTCCAATAATCAAGTAACATATGTGTCGAAACTTTATGAAATGTTTTGTACACTTAGATGAAAAATGTAAAAAGAAAAAACAAAACAAAAACAAAAAAGCATCTTATGCGGTGAGATAAATCATTGTTTGTAAGGCAAAGCACTCAAAACATTTTAATAAAGCAAAACACAAGCGTGCAACAAACTTACAGGAGCCGAGGGAATATCACTGCACAAAGCCGGTGTTGTGAGGCAAAACAGGCAAACAAAGTTACTGACTAAAGCACAACAAAAGCGTGTACTAACAAACTTTCCGGGAGCAGAGGGAATAGCACTGCACCAAACCGGTGTTTATGAGGCTCCTGCCCCCGGTCAGCTGACCACTATTGACCCCCTACTGACCCACTCAAAAAATTAATGGAAATGAAGAATAACTTATTTTTTTAAAGGAAAGATTGTGGGAGATGATCGATCTGCTTTATTTCATCCTTGCAACTCCCTGTATCTCAAATATTAGTTTTTCTTTCTAATAAATTGGTGACATAGCAATCGAAGTATAAATGACCTTTTTAAATAATTTCCAAGGAAAATGAAAAAAATCAAGTAAGCAGAAACAAAATAAGTGTCTTATGCGGGAACATATTAATACGCACATTCTCGGAAAAACCGAAAGTTGTCACGTCTTGGCAGTTCCAGGCCCCATCATCCATTCACTGCTTCACGTGGGCCTTTTGCAAAATTTTGCATGTCAGGTTTATTGATATGTGGCTTTCTTTTTACCAGTTTTTTCCACCTTTAATGTGAATTCCTTATGCGTGCATGCAGTGAATGGATGGCGGCACCAACCTGGAACTACCAAGACATTCATCAGGTTTTTGCAGTGCTTTTCCCCTCGACTCCCCTCACGTTTGCACGCTTTTGTTTTGCTTTGTATTTTTCTGTTATGGTTTGTGTTTTTCGTGATTTACGTCACGAACTCTGGTTTGTACAGTGCTGTTCCCCTGGGTCCTCAATTTTTGCACGCCTAATTTTTTGCTTTGTATTATATTCAGTTTTAGTTTTGTGATCTGCATTCTTTCCCTCACTAACTTGTTGTTCTTTCGATTCCCATATCGTTGGTTGATCATTTTTGTTGTGCTTTAAACAGTAAATCTGATCGGCGTGTTTTACTTTACATTGTTTACAGAGGTGTTATTTCCCCGGCCCCTATAGATTTTGCTCGATTATGTTTTTTGTCGCATTTTTCTATATTTTGTTGCGCGCGTTTTTGCCTCGCGGCCTCCAGTTTTGCGGGTTTACTCCCTTGTCTCCGTGTATTTGCTCGCTTACTTTCCTAATTGTTTTTCTAAACTCTGAGTTTATTTGTGCAATACGTTCCTCGCCTTTTCTGCCGTCATTTCATGTGTCTTTCTTCCCCCGCTTCCCTGGTAACCTGAAAGGGTGTCTAATGGCCTAGTCGGATGCTACTATCCCTTGGGTGTTTTTTTCTCGCGCTGTACCTCAGGTTTTCCTTTTTACCTTGGACCTTTTATCCCCTATGAATTTTGTTGTTACCGCTCAAGAGCTAGCAGCCTATTCATGTTTTACCACGCAGTCCTTTTGGTATTCCTTGAATGACCTCCTTGCCCAGCTGTCGGCAAGGATCAGAAGTCTAGTTGTTTTACTATACTCTGATTTTGTGAGGGCTTTTCGTTCCGCCCCTTGAACCTTTCAGTGTTGGAGAACTGGGTTTTCTCTTCTTTGAGTTCTGGGACCCGGTTTTAAGTTTGGCAAGTGTCTGGGTTTTTTGGGACGTATTTAACGTTCAACTTCCCGACGTGGTCCCATTCCGTGTCTTATTCAGCGAGCGTGAAAGTGACTGTTGCGAATAGTATGAGAAAGCTAGTAATGACCTAGCCTGAGAAAACAGCTGACATTTGGCGAATGACGTGTGAGAAACACAAAAAAATAAATAAGTCCGTTATTTACCCTCGGTAGTATTTATAGCACTAATGCTAGTGGGGCCGAGCAAACGTCTGAAACAAATAATTCATATTGAACCAAAATCCCAACTGGCCAGAGGCAAACCAGCTGGCAATTTACAAGCATGGCCGAGGATTTGAACAAAAGACTATCGCGAACTAATCCAGCTAACGATCAGAGCGGGACTTGAACTCGGGGCCTCCAAATTGCAAGTCCAGCGCTCCAACCACAAGGCGACGCTGCTTCCTGTGAGGGCAGAAATTCCATACTGATTACACGTCACTACCCAGATCTCAGTATAGTGCTTCTGATTGGTCGTGCTGCGTGATCAGTATGGAATGTCTGCGCTCGTTTCTCAGACGTCATGTGGCAGGGATACCAGTACAGTTTTCTAGATACCTATATAAATGTAAAAAATGATTATTTAGATGAAATGAATGAACTTGAATTCAATCTACAAAATCACAGACAGAGATTTCAGGCTTCTATCACTGGCAGGATTCTGGATTTCTTAACCTGAGTTCCGGATTCCAAAGCCTAGCATTTCGGAGATCGGATCATCTTACGTGGAGCGAATTGAACCTCTAAATGAAAGCCATTTTGAGGAAGATGGACTTAATGAAATAAAAAAAACACTTTGATTAATTTTAAAAACCTCTCTTGATAAGATGAAATATGTTGAAGATATAACATTTGAGGGATTTCTGGAAAAATCACAATTAATAAAAGGCATAACAGAACGAAGCATGGCTAGACAGAGAACTTGGGATGAACCACTGTCTTAAAACAGGAAACCCAATGCTACAGTGAGTAACCAATAAGAGACCTAATCGGCTAACTTTATGTTGTACCCAATTCAAATCTCCCTTGGTTAAGATTCTTTGCGTATTGTATTTGCATTATAATGTGGCATTCACATCGAAATGATATGGAAATTCCTGAAACAAAAAGTTTTATTTCCAAAGGGTTTGAATTGGGTACAACATTGAGTTAGCCGAATAGGTCTATTGCCCTCCAAGGATGCTCTAGCCTCAAAGGCACATACTGTCACATATGTTCAGAGGAATAGCGAGAGACGTGCACGCCCCGTCTCATACGACTTATCAGTAATATGAAACCACAAAAATAACCGGCAGCAAAGCCTTATCTTCGTGAGAGAGATCTTGCATGGTATGACCCATGTTTTGACAGACTTACGTAATACCTGTAGACAAATTGCCAATTAAATCTGCTAAATCTCTTGGAGTGACCATCGATGATAATCTCGATTGGGCATCGGAGCCATAACGCGAGTAAGACATCTTGGCCCCCAAGCGACCTTACAACTAATTTACCAAGTTATTATTCACCCTCACTTCAGTTATTGCAATACTGTTTGGAGAAACTGTGGGACAAACTTTAAAAACTACAAAATAGAGCAGCCCGTGTTTTGACATTTTCAGACTACGATGAAGACGCTGGTTACCTGTTTGAACTCCTAGGATGGAAAAATCTAGCGCGCCAGCATGAAATTGAAAAAGCCACTATGGTATATAAGTCTTAACACGGTTGGCTCTAGAATATTTATGTTCTAGGTTTGCAATACGAGAAACGGCATGTATACCTCTTATTAGCCGAGTTTTCGGTCCGTACCGTAAATTTACATAAATCGATGGAAAAAAAGGAGGATCCGTAATTTACAGTAAGGACCGAAAAAACGAGGCTAATAAGATGTTTATTATATGGCTTCTTCCAGTTTGGGGGACCGGAAAAAAGTGCAGGACGTCAAGAAAGAAAGTTTTTATTGCCTCACGAAAACAATAGCACACAACAAAGGGTTTCCGAGAAAGAGAAAACAAATTCGCCATGTTGAAAAAGTTTATTTGGCCAAAACTAAGAGCGCTGTAAGTCTTAGCTCTTTAATGTAACGCTGGAGTACTTTGGAAACCAGGCACTGTGCCTTTTTCGAAGTCGTTTCCATCTTTCCTCCGTTGGTCCTTGGAAAAAAAAAACACTGCAAAAGGCAAAGAAGGTACGTTTCTTGTCATTGTCGAAGCTGGATTCGCTCGTTAATTTTTTGGGGGAAAACCTCTTTAATTTCTGCCAGTTCATTCTCGTCTTCAAGCGTTATCTGCGTTAAAATTTTCAAACACGGACCATATTTTCTTCCACGGAAAGGTTGCCATTCAGTGGTTACATTAGCTTCGTTCTCGTTCAAACAAAGCTAGGTTAAAATCTGGAAATGCGAAGTCAACGTCCCAGTCCTCAGGGTTTACAGACATATTTTTAAGTATATTCGATCAAAACTAAGAGCACTGTAAGTATCCACTCGCCAATGTAACGCTGGAGTCTTCTGACATTGTGGACATTGTGTTTGGCTCGGAGTCTCTTCTATCTTTCTTTCGTTGGTCTTTGGAAAAACACTGCAAATGACAAAGAAGCTCGTCAAGGTGATCGGGTGCAGGCATGTTTTTTATCATATTTGTCGAAGGAATTACTCATTTTCTCTTCGGCAAAACATCTCGAATCTCTGCCAGTCGATTTTCGTCTTCTTAACTGTGTACTACGGTAAAGGTTTCAAACACTGACTAGAATCCTTTTCGATAAGATTGCGAGTTAGTTTCTTCATCTCCTTCGTTCACAAATAAACACAGTTTAAAATGTTGAAAGACAAAGTCAAAATCTAAGTCCTCAGGGTTGATAGACGTCTTGCAACTTAATTTCAGCCTTTTTTCCGAGGTAAAGAGATTTAGAGCTCCGAAATTAGCATTTTCTTTGAAATTTTGGTCCGTATAGCAAGTTACGGACCGCAAATTGACCAATCGCATGGCCAAAACAGACTCAGCCATATAATAAAACCTTAGAGACTCTGAGAATAAACTTTACATCCCTTTACCACATGCACGGACAAATTACCGTATTTATTCGAACAAGCGCCCAACCTCGAATAAGCGCCCACC